CTCTTCTCTTTTTGTTGTTCCCTCTCTTTCTCCAGCCCTCATGACTGGAGGCAGGAGAAGGGGGCCTGCCTTCGCCTTTGATCTTCCCCTCCGCTTTCGATAATTTTTTGACAGAAATCTGCTCTCTTTCTCCCCCTTCTCCTTCTTTAACTCGCTTTTTCCCTCCTCCTCCTCCTCCTCAGCCTCTTCTTTTCCTTCCCCCCCTCCTCCTTCCCCAGCGGTAGCGGCGTTTGGACTTGCCGGAGAGAGCCACATACGCTTTCGGCCCTGTCAAGCCCCTGCAAGACAACTTGCCCCAACATTTCACGCGCGAATTGGACTCTTGGCTTTTTCCCGGGCGCAGATGATATATATAATTCATGGCGGGGTGTGAGAGTGGTGTCAACGTGTCAGCCGATAGAAGAAATATAAAAGTGGGCTGTTTACTGGTCGAGAGACACTGTCTCTTTTTTCTTTTCTTTTTTTGTTCTTCTTCTCTAATTCTCTCCCTTCTGTGGGGAGGGGTGGTGGGGCTTGGAGAGGAGTGGGGGGGATCAAATGCACGCCTGTCTGTCCAGCTGTGATGCAGGACTAGCTGCTCTAATCAAAGCAACGCCAGCCCCAATGTATTTTTCCAGTTATCTCCCAGGGAAAAAAAAGAGTGAGAAAAATCCCATTTTTAATTATTCAAGTGCATCAATTAATTATGGAGACTCGCTTGTCCGCGCGCCGCTTTGCAAACGAATGCTTGCCGTGTCAATACAAGTATCGCTCTTTCGTTTCACATTGATCTATTGTACTTCAGACCATTTGTGGTGATTTGTCTCACCGCTGTAATTAAATATGCTCACGAATCCAAATGAATTATTCCTGATGTGAATATATGGGGGGCGTCATTTGTGTTGTATTGGGTGTGTTGATGTTTTTTGGGTTTGTTTTCTATCTCTTGTACCTTCAAAGCCAGACTATTTGAAGTTAATTTCTGAAAGCAAAACAAAAAAAGCACGTCTGCCATTGTTTACCAATGGAGAACTCAAGCAGAACTCGATTCTAAAGGAACTTGAATCAAACTTCGCCGACTGATACCTCCTTGTTGAAGAAGCAGCATTATTAGATCTCTCGTTGGAGGTCAGTCGTTGGCCTGTTTGTACGGCCCTCTCCGCTCTTCTCAAGCGCAAACAAAGGTCAGATCGGTTTATATAGGCGCGTTACAGCGGCCGGCCTTCTCGTTCTCTTTCGGACCTCTTTCATAAGTGAAAAACGCAGGTCATTTGAATGCGCTGCCTTGGTTCGCGAAGTCACCTTGCGGCGTGAATGGAAATAAAGTTGGGTTATTATGTTTGTGGGCAATGGAGACAGTGTTTATGAGATGCCGTTGTGTATGTCTTTCTATACCGCCGTGGGCTCTGGAAATGAAAGCACGGGTCAGCACTGTGGAATCTTTTCAAAAGAAACAGCGTTTGTCCATATTCAGTGGAGCCCTTGGCGCCTTTCAAGGACAAATTCGCCAGTTTCAGTTTAGCACTGCAGTCAGACAAAACAGAAACAGACCGTGACTTCACAGGAGTGACCACAAAAGATATGTTTTATATGTTACGGCGTATATGCTATGTGTAGGTTTGTTGCAGAGAAAGTCTTTGTTTTCTTTGATATGTATTTACTGTAAGAGCAGAACTGGTATTGAACGTGTTCGGTGGTGGCGTCTTGTCTGTTATCCAGAACAAAAGCTGTCCGCAGCAGAAGTTTGTAAGACCAGAGCCAGGATATTGTCTATAAACTAAACTTTCTGCAGAAGTTAGAAAAGTGTCCTACAGGTACAAAAGTACGTGATGCCATTAGACATAGCATTACATTCATCCAAAGAGGATTAACGAGGGCCAAAATCCTGCTGTGCCGTGTATGTTACAGTAACTAGGCCTTCACTACAGCGAGCGCGTTCTTAAATGGAGGAGACACAGCTAAGGAGAGGAGGAGTGAATTACACTAAATGAACTCTAAGGGTCCTTTAGACCAGGGGTTTGGAAGGAGTGCTCCGACATCAAAAGCCTGGAAGATCTCTGAACAGCCTGAGGGGCGGTAATCCACTTTTCGTAGATGCTTCTAGAAGCATGGTCTGCTGGATAATTACAGTCTATCTGCAGGGTAGCATGAGGCCCAGTGGCTGGCAAACAGTGATGATTCTGCAATTTAGGACTCTCACTTTTAGGAGAGGAGAACTCAGAGCTAAACTAAACAAATAAGCATACGAGCAATGTGACACGTTCACTGGCTGCCTTGAAACTTGGTAATCTGTGAATTGTATTATGATGAGCTTCATTAATTCCCAACGTTCCCATACATACAAGACAAACAGAGAATATGTATCGGGTAAAAATAATAAAATACACACTTTAAGAAGATGCTTCTTCAAAAGGGTTTTATATAGAACCATATAAAGCACATTCTCCATCAACCTGAAGAACCATTTAGTGATGCAAAGAAGCTTTTCGAAAAGGGCTCTATAAAGCACCAAAAAGGGTTCTTCTACTGTTACAGACTTGAAATCATAACAATAGAAGAACCCTTTTGGTGCTATATAGAACAGATTTCAGAAAGGTTCTATATAGAACCATCTACAGCATATTTTCCATCAACCTGAAGAACCATTTAATGATGCAAAGAATCATATATACCAAATATGGTATGATATGCCACCATATTATGTCATATATATATATATATATATATATATATGTGTATATATATATATATGTATTAGAGATACAGTTACAGTTACTGTTACAGTAAGTGTTACAGTGTTATAATAACAGTAATCCTATATGAGGTAGTTTACAGTTGCACAGTAATAAATATCCCAAGTCAGTACAGCTGTAAAATACAATATTGTGCAAAAGAGCATCACCAGTGCAGAATAAGCAGAAATAAAGTACAGTGCAGTTTATACAATGATCTGAATTATGATTTTAGGGCCAACGTGTTTTAATTTTTGCCTGCAATGAAACTCCCTCACTCTGATAACTACGTGATTTGCATATTAGTATCATAGCAGTTCATAGTTTACCCTCAAAAATAAAGGGTCCTGAATGATTCTTGGCTTGGCACAGACATGTTACATTTATGCAGAGATTCTTTAAGCTTTGATAAGGTTCTTAACACTCAAACATCCCTCTTACAAAAGGACCATCAACTGTGCAAGCTTTACAGAGAACCAAAAGTGGCATTGCTCCGTAGAACCCTTTTCTGAGTTCATTATTTTAAAAAAGTTCTTAACCGACAAATCAAATGGGCATATATTTCACCTTACTTACTTAAAAAAGGTGGATCTTCAAGGGTTCTTTGGTAAAGAACATGGGGTAACACTTTCTATGAATGTCACATTTGTAAGCATCTATAAACACATTTATAACATGTTATAATGTATTCATAAGGCATTATAAACATGGATATAAATATTTATAAAAATAATTACACTGAATTACACTTTATAGCCATGTTTATTATACATTATGAATTGTTAATATAATGCATTATAAATAGTGTTAATAACATGTTCTAATGTCAGTCCCAGCTTGGAGAGCGTAAAGTAAAGACAAATACCAAGCTAACGGTGGTGAACATTACCTTTCCCACATTGGGTAAAGCACTGATGTCAGCACTAGTTTAAACTCTGACATTTGAAGCCTGTAATGAGCTTTACTGTGTATGTTTTAGTGTTTCAGTAAATCCTTCAGTAAATACTTCAACTTGAAGCCTCACTCTGAACACTGGAGGAGGCTTTAGTACAGTACGCTTCACTTTACTTAGAGCGGACAAATATGACTTATGAGCTCTTATAATTTGTTATGATCAGTACTTATAATGTATTATATTAAAAATTAAGTAAAAGTAGAAGTTCCTCCCTTTAGATCTCCACTTGAGTAAAAGTACAAAAGTATTTGCCTTCAAATGTACTTAAGTATCAAAAGTGACAGTACTAAAAGATTAATTAACTTAATGCAACTTAGTTACAAGTTTAATAAAAGTTTAATAAAAACTTGTTTTAAACTCAGATTCACAAATGAGTTTCCTTTACTAAACTGCATCTGTAGGTCTCTGTTCATAAACATAAACTAGCCAAAACTAATTTACTATAAAATGAAATGTGTTTGTATAAATTCAGAAAAAAGACACGTCAGTCACAACTGCATATGAGTACATATTTCTATATTGTGGTCTGTTTACACAAAGTTAGGTTAGTTCATCATTTATGTTGAATAGACTCTCCCAACATTTCACGCTGCTGCACTGACGTTGAACCGTGTGCTGCACTGGGTCGGTATGTCCAACAGGTCAAAACAAGCTCAAAACAAAGTGACCGCTGTGCCCTGATTGGTGTTCTTGCTTTGCGCTTCTTTCATTTTTGACATGTTATGTTTTTATACACACATAAACCAAAAGGAACGACAGATTTCTCATAATGTAGTGGTAAAAAGTGAGATATTTGACTTTGAAATGTAGTGGAGTGAAAGTAAACAGTCACCCAAAATGGGAAAACTTCAGTAAAGTACAGATACACGAAAAAACTACTTAAGTACAAAAATGAATTACATTTACTTAGTTACTGTCCACCACTGCCTGTTAGCTACATTAGCCTCTTAACTCCAGTGCAAAGTTAAAGAAGCAAACTTTGGACACCAGCCATGTCTTGGCTAATCGACAAGATTTAGGATGAGGGCACAATAGAGTACGTTTGACTTTTTATTGAATTATTCCTTTAAGAGTCTCTGCGCTGAACATTTAGGATTGATAACAGAGCTTAATTCCGTCTTGGAGTCAAAGTAATGGAATCTTGGTATTTGCTGTACTACACACAGTGCATAAGGTAGGACACAGGAACCTGCCCTCCATCTGTTAAAGGAAACAAAGCCTTTTTGAAACACCGGCGGCAGCATCGACTGTGGTTTTGTGGTTTGCTGCACAGGTGTCACGGAACCTTTAAAAGCATCAGCTTGACGATCGAATGCTATTTTCTTCCTCCGCAGCTACCTCATCTCTCAACTCCCAGCTTCAGCATCTTCAGCATCTCCAACAAATACAGCAGCACCACCAGCAGCAGCAACAACATCAACAACAACAACAACAGCAACAGCAGCAGAGAGAACGAGAGCAGCGAGAGAGAGAGCAGCAGCAGCAGCAGCAGCGCGATCGAGAGCAACACTGCATCCCGGCCCACCTCCAGAAGCCCAATCAGCTGCCGCACCATCATCAGCTGACTCCGCCCATCCAGACACAAGCCTCTGGTCCCTCCACAGGAACGGCATCTTCTTGTACTTCCTCCGGCCACGGTCCGGCTCCGCCTCCGCAGTCTCCGCCCTCTCACAGGCCCAACCAATCACCAGCTCGCAGCCTGCCCTCACCGGTCACGCCTCCGCTGCCACTGCAGGTAGGTTATTAATTGTTGTTGGTCAGTCAAACGTACACTGGTTGGACAAATAGCTTTTAATAGAAAACAGGCTTTCTTTGCAGTACCTTAATTAGGGCTGGCCTGAATGGCATTTTATAGGCTTTGAATGCTCATTGATATTTTTGACAGATACCCAAACACTCATTGCTACAGTTTAAATGGGGCAGTTCTGGACTGGAGGTTAGGAAACTAGCCCTGTGACCAGAAGGTCACCAGTTTGATCCCCTGAACCGACAGTACGTGACTGAAGTGGCCTTGAGCAAGGCACCTAACCCCTGACTGCTCCCCGGGTGCTGCGGATAGTGCTGCCCACCATGTCTGGACTCCAGTCCATGGCCTCTGGACTTTGGATGTTTGTTGTACAACGTTTACTGACAGTCTCAACATCATCACATTAAATCTGAGAGGCTGAACTGCTACAAACATATAAAAAAAGAATAAAAAGTGCTGATGAGAGGGCTTTTCAGCTCAACTCACTTCACTAACACTGAAATCCGCATGTCTGTGTGTGAATTGTGCATTATTTATTTTGGAAGACATGCCGAAGTTTTATTATTTATTTATTACTGTTTAAACTGTTCTCATTTCGTTTAAGTCATCATGTGCATTTCACTGTGAGCTCCACAAGCAAAGCTTGCTTAAGCCTCCATCTCAAACAGCCTTTCTGGAGGTTCTTAGAAAGTCTGCATTATCCCCCTTATAGCTTAGATATATTACAGAATTGAACAGCCCCATGATCCTATAGACTTTCTCGGTAATGTGCATCGCATCACACACACTGCCACTTTTTGTGGTCCTCTAAATAAAATTTGAAATAATGATTTGCTAAATTGTTATGCCCTGCAGCTCCTGCGCTGTACTAGCTTTTGTAAAAGTGGAAAAAACTGTTGATCGCAATAAACAGATCTGTCGAGTGCTAAACCTACTGTAAAACTGCTTAATTAGAAACAGTTTAAGAGGGAAAAGCTATTTCTGCTCAAAGTGGAAACATGATGGAGCTGAGTCAGAGGCAGGGTGTGATGGATGCAGATGTGTCGCGTCTAAAGCATGTGGCTTACCAAACGGTGTTCTTACATATTTGGGATGATTCATTCAACTTCACTGTAGCCTTTTACTGCAAATTTTGCTGAGAAAAGTTTTTTGCTTAGTGATACTTTAGTACACCCACACAGGTAGTTTCATAATGTATCTCTACTTTTTGTTTTTCAATGATCACACGGAAAGCAGTACAGTTTGTTGCCCTGTTATGCAAAGATGCCACTAAATGTTCTACCTAAAGGCCTTTGCTTTTAAATTTATTGTAGTTAATGCTACAATTTTGGCGCTTAAAAAGGAACAAAGCTTCTGAATACCAACGTAATGACTAAAAACTTGTATTGCATTCAAATTATTCTGACCAGCCCTAAACTTAACATACTAAGCAGAAAGCTGTCCAGATCTTGCCATTTTTCTCTGTAAACTAATAACTTATTCCAATGTGTTAGTAAATTTTACCTACTTTTTAAGTTTTACCTACTTCATTGACCTAAAGGTATTTTTCCATATTTAATTAAAAAGTACCAGAAAAAATAAAACATTAGTCATAAAATTCCAAAAGATGGTATTGTATCTTCAAATATTTAATGAGCAGTGTATAGAAACTAAATAATAACAGAGACGCAGTCTGTAGCTTGAAATAATCAAACAGGTTGGGTGGCCCACAGTTTTAAAGATTGAGAGGCCGCAGATCAACCACAATAAGAGACCTACTTTTCCAGGCCCAAAGTAGTCCTGACCAATAGTGCTTGTTTCTCCCGTCGGCCTACAAGTTTATAATAGGCTCCTTATACAGTAAACGCAACTGCAGTCATTTGTGTTTGACATAAATGCTGAATGATGATTGAACGACGAACGCCAGTCCAGACTCCTGCCTGGCATGGAGGCCTGTGAGGCCGATCCATATAATGTCTCCTAAATATGATGTTGCCCCACTTAAAGGACTCGTTCTTCTACATTATTCACAACGTGCCTGGAAGAATGGAGGTTAGGAGTGACACGAGGCCTGGGATGAATCGTAGAGAATGGGGCAGTAATTCAATTGAGTGATTGGAGCTGTCTGGGGAAATCTTGGATATTACAAATATTGTTTCTGGAGGAGGTACTTGTTTGCCAAGCTAGGTCCCTGGGAATGAATGAAAATTGAAAGTTTATTGTTAAGAGTTCATCCCTGCCATCTTGCTTGCGACAGCAATAGAGCATTATTGAGGATGAAGAGCTTTGGAATATTAAATTATGAGTTATGATGGTTTTGGGGTAACCCGATTTGAATCAATTACATGATAATTACTTATTGACATGTTTCTTATGGGTGCAGTATATGCAGCTGATGCTGCGTTTAACGGCTGGGATTTCAGAGGCTGATCTTGCTTGATATTCTGTGGTAGTTTCAAAAGTGTAGTTTCAATTTTGTGAATAGCACTGCGCCATTTGTCTCCACTGACAAAGTAATTACAGTTTATTTATTTATTATTTTTTTATTATAAATGGGGAAAAAGGCATGTTTCCAAAAGTTCCTTGTTTATACAGTTTAGGCTGTAGAACAGCCCAGTTTAAATACACAAAGCTCTGTATTCGCCCACTTTGTCTAGTAACAATAAGCCAAACTGATTGAACCTGTGGTACAATCTTAAAGACATTTCACCACTTGGTTGAAAAATCAAGATAATACCATAAGTAAGTTGCCTTGACTTGTTAAGTCAATTCAACAATTCAACAACCTGGATGACTGAAAAACTCCTCTTAGGTGTTTGTATGTCAGTAATTTAATCAAATTACACTACATTTAGCCAGTAATTGAGAGTGGAATAACCATGGAAAGCAACGCCATGGCAGCTTTTATTTTCTGGCAGAAGTCAGACTTTGAATGTGTGTGAGATTTTAGATTATGGAGGTAAATTTCAGGTAATGTTCAGCTGGGAGTGACCATGGATACATGTTACCAGTAACACAAGTAGGAATTTGGCCAACATATCATACAAACATCATTAGAATCTGCTAAATTTTGGAAGTAGCTTGGGCTATAAATCATTCAACATGCTATCTAACTCGGTTACTGCTGGTAGATCAGTCTCAACTAAAGAGTCGTTGGGTTTTGTAGGGCAGGTGATGAAAAATCTTCCCTAGTTCTTCCGAGTTCTTCCAAGTAGTGCAGCCATTGATAGTTTGAGCCTTGATAATGCCCCAGTGGTCCATGGTTGAGGCTGATCTACCAGCAGCAAGCAAGAATTAGCTTCACACAGCACCCAGCGTGATGTTAACCAACATGACCAAACAGACTTGGTAGTTGTGTTGAGGTCTCCAATGATGGTGGCTGGCATGTGCTAGCCTTCACTAAACCAGCTTGGTAGCATCATGTGTGCTAGCGGGTGCAAGTGGCGATGACTAAATTGGAAGAAACAAAATTGGATAAGAAAAAAACTAAGGAAAACCTCGATGTCAGCTTCTTCCAGCATTGTCCTGTAGCCCAACTCAAATGAAACACAAAAATGGAAGAACCTCTCCATCAAAATGACCAACGTAGCCCTTTATTTGGCAGTCCATATCAAATCCATGCATCACACCTGACCGAAAAAGGCCTAGCATTTTAAATAATCACATGCTCCAATCCAAAGGTAACCGCTCCACTTCATTAAACACATGATGACCGTCCCTCTTTCTTTTCTCCCCACTTTTTCCTCCATCCATATGTCCATCCATCCATCCATGTCTCATCCTCTGTCTGTCTGGCTGTCCCACTCTTTCTCTAATAACCTGCTCCCCCCCCTCCTTTTTATATCCCAGTGGTTTCATTTCAGCCGGAGAGAGGCCAGGGTCGCCTCTGTGTCCTTCCCCACATTCATCAGCGTCACAGCCCTTATTGCTCTGCGCTGTGGCCCCCTTCATGGCTGCCATCAACTTAGGCCATTTATTTCACCTTCTGTCCCTCTGCCAAAGCCCTTACACACACACCAGCTGGACCCTACAGGGCCCGCCGCTTAATGGTCCCCAGGGCCCGCAACTAGTGCTTTTCAGAGAGACTCCTTGGGGGCGAACGGCCACTGCAGATGTTTTTTCCGTCGACAGTTCGAGCACATCTGATTCAGTTTGGCATGTGATCCTCAAGCCTTTGTTTATGTGATTTAGGTGTATTAGGGGTGAGGTAGATGAAGTAGATGGGGTCTACAAGAAAGGGGGTTATGATAGCTGGGCAACTAACGGCAGTGGCCAGATATGCTCTAGTACTTGAAATATTTGTCCAAGCCTGAAGGGACCCAGCTATAAATGACAGGTTTTGACAGATTTGGTTTGAAGATGGACCCAGAGTCCATCCTGCAACTGTACTGCATTTTGGCCTGCATTTAGTTTTTCTCTCTACTTTAATTTTCCTCCCCACTTTTATTACCTAAAATAATTCCTAATCTGGCATAATGGAGGCACTCCTGTTGTTGGCACAGAGGCCAAAATAAGAACACATTATGTTTAGCTTATGCAAAAAACTTTTGAGATGTCTTCAAGGGAGGATTGATGAATTAGCATGGAATTTAAACTCAGTTTTGGACAGCAAATCCTTAAGCTACTCAGTTTTCTTTTTATTTTGGATGAGCTGGTGATGACAATCATTTGGTAACTTAACAGACACTATCTTTAGGAATGTGGAGTTTTATTCGGTCTCTGAATAAATCCCTAATACAGGGGTCGGCAACATGCGGCTCTTTTACTGCCCTGTTGTGGCTCCACAGCAGAATCAGATTTGTAGGTAAAAATAAAATAATCCTCCTTTACAGTAAAATAAAGCTCTGCTGATCGTTCAACACAGTTTAACAATAAATGGTCTTAAACTCTGGAGTTAATGTAGAACTGCTAATTCACCCTTTAACCCTGAAGATCAGCGCAGACTGCTGGTCACCATAGCAACACAGACAACTTCTCGCTTAGCTAGTAGCTAATGAAAAGAGAAAGAG